CCCCCCCCCCAAAAAAAAAGATGACGTCCTCCGAGGCTCTAGACTGGTAGTCCATGCTACTTGGCAACAATAGGCAGCCGGTGAAAACTCTGGAGGATGGGCCCTAGGCTACCGAAGCTCCACGACTCAAGATCTCCGTACATACGTACAGTGCCAACTCCTACATTCCACAAAAACCCAGCTTGTCGTATACGTCGATATGTACTGTTGCAAATTCACAATACCAGCTTTGTTTTCCTGTGTTTTAGTACCTTTTTTTGCCGTAACATTTTTTTGTTCACCCACGCACACTAGTTTGGGGGTCTTCAAAGACTGTGATCCATATAATTAATTCGCTTTGACCTTCTTGCTAGTTTTTAATGGGCTCAATAAATAGATGTTGTCCCAATATTGTGTAGGTGTTAAAAAGCCAACCGTCACGTTGGTTGAAGGTAATTAATACCTCACGTGAGAGGTCAGAAAAAGCCAGCATTTAGAGCAGGACGCATGCGCCGGAGAATAACATCTACGCACAAAAAAAAAACAGAACGCTCAGTTGGTCAAAGGAGGAGAGCAGCTCAGGAACAAGACTGGACCGCATCTTCTCCGACACGAGGGGTGTTAGCCGTAAGTAAGTTGTGTCTTTCTAATATTACATTTGTTTCAATCTACCTAAAGCCCGGACTAGTAATGGACTTAACAACTCATTCCTTCATTGCGCTGTTCGCCTCTATAACAAGACAATTCAGCAGTAGTGTTTTATATATATATAGTACCTAGCTAAATCCTACGTGATAACTGCATACTGTGCATAGATTTTAATTGTGTAATCGTCTTCGAATGTGTCTTAATAGTGTGTTTGCCTATGTTGTTTCATGTGTACAATGAAGAGTGTCACAAATCATTGTTTTTAATGTTCTATGTACTATGTAATAAGGACAAAATTCGGGCATTTGCCCGCAAGAGCCTTACCGAATAAAGTTTGATTTGATTTTTTTAATTCAAGTCACTCACTAACTTTAGGCCACAGAAAGTAGATTTTATGGATGACAACCTCCGCAAATCCCAAATATAATGCAATAGGGTGACCTAAGAAATAAGACGGGCCTAAAAAGCAAGACAACATGCCTACATTATATGGGGTCCATAATTCCTGTATTCAACACTGAATTAGGGCCTTGTCTTGCTGATGGACATTCATGACATATTTTCCAACTTTTGACATGTTAACCATCACAGTACGAAGTCTAGTGAAAAAAATGAAAACTAAACCTTATTGACAGGATCATCGGGTTAATAGAACAGTCCTACTATAGACAGTCAGTAGTACAGACTTCCCCACTTCAATCCTGTCATCATAGTACAGGAGCCAGGGCCTGAAAAATGTGATTTCGTGGCACCCACTTTACAGAAAAGGTTTGACCTTATTTTGTGGTAGAGGGGCCTCTGCCACATCACCCAGTATGATTTTTATGCTCAAATTGTGGTATCACTTTTTTTCTACGGGCCCGTAAAGGTGTAACACTTGAATAGAACAAGCGAAAAAAGGCACATTTTCAAGGGGGAGGGGCAGAAAATTAAATATCAACGTTTTTTCATGAAAATTGATAGACTGATACAACTTTTGATGGGGATAACAAAAATGTAAATTTTTTCTCCAAATTCTACTCTTTTCAAGTTTTATGGCGCTTTAAAATTCGATTTTTTAAGCAATTTTGGTACAAAAAACGTGGTGTTTACCGAAATTAGGCAATTATTCGTGTTACCTATGGGGCCTTGTCTGATGCATTATTTTTATTAACCTTGACATTCGCATCATTTTGATGTTTAAATCATCGAAATCCGTCAATTCTAACAGGAGATATGAGTGTTTGAAGAACCACGCACAATCTGGCTATTTCCGGCAAAAGCGTTGCTAGGGCCGTTGCTAGGGACGGCCTCGGAGGCACTACCCTTAAAAATTAGTTATCCTAGTCCAACTTCCGGACTAGATTTTGATCTTTTTGTGCTTACAATGAATTACTATATATAG